GAGGTTCAATCAAATCAAGATCAGAGAGGAGGACGTGAAGAAAACGGCCTTCCACGGGCCGGATGGGCTGTACGAGTGGCTGTATATGCCCTTCGGTCTGAGGAACGCCTCGGCAGTGTTCCAGAGAGTTATGGACGCGGTGCTGCGGGGAATAGAACACGCGGCGTGCTATATCGATGATGTCGTGATCTTCAGCTTGACCGAGCACCAGCACCTGGAGGATGTGGAGAAGACACTAACGGCCATAGAAGGGGCAGGGCTCACTTGCCATCCGAACAAATGCAAGTGGGGGGAGCGGACAATGCAGTACCTGGGGTACGAGGTCACAGGGGGGCAGATTGGGATCCAGCAAGCAAAGGTGCAAGTGCTGGACAGGCTAAGGGAACCACGAGACAAATCAGGACTGCGTGCGGTCTTGGGCTTCCTCAGCTACTACAGGCGCTTCGTGCCGAACTTCAGTAAGCGAGCGACGGTGCTGAATGGGATGCTGCGCGAAGACAAGGCATGGGAGTGGGGAGAGAAGCAGAGAGAAGCGCTGCAAGACCTCATGACAGCCGTAAAGACAGCGACAGTACTGCGGCTGCCAGCAGCAGACCAGCCCTTCATCTTGTACACCGACTGGAGCAGCCAAGGGATGGGGGCAATACTGTGCCAGGAGGTGGAGGGAGTGGAGAAGGTGGTGGCCTATGCCAGCAGGAGCTGCAACCCAGCGGAAGCCCAGTACAGCTCATACATCGGGGAGGGGCTGGCGGCAGTGTGGGCGGTCGGGCATTTCCGGTATACCTGCAGGGCCGAGAATTCACCCTAGTCACTGATCATCAGCCCCTCACATGGCTGATGACCACACCAGGGCTGACAGGGAGGAACGCGAGGTGGGCAGTGAAGTTGCAGGAATATGATTTTAAGATTAGGCACAGGCCGGGGAAGACGCTGCAGCACGTCGATGGTCTCTCTCGCAACCCACCGCCGCTGGAAACGGGACAGATAATACCGGGGACGAAGGAGACAGAGCCGGAGCCAGCGCAAACCTTGATCTTGCTGGCACGAGAGGTGGAGCAGGTCGGTGCAAAAGGGAATCTGGGGCCAGCTGACATCTGGCAGGATGCAAAGGCAATGGAATGGGTGAAGGGAGAAACCGAAGAAGACGAGACGATATCAGAGAGGGTGAGGGCACGAGGGCACCACTACAGGTGGTATCAGCAGGAGCTGCAGGTCAAGACGGAGGATGGCTGGAAGCTGGTGCCAGCGCCTAAGGACCGTGAAGCAGTGATCAAGGAAGTGCACACTAAGCTGGGACACTTCGGGCACGAGAGGACCGTGCAGCTGCTGAAGACGGGCTGGTGGTGGGAAGGGATGCGCAGGCAGGTGAAGGAGTGGGTGGAGGGGTGCGAGGCATGTCAGAGGAGCAAAGCAAACTTGACACAGGCCAAAGCAGAGCTGCACTCACTACCAATCTGCGGGCTGGGGTTCCGATGGTCCCTAGACCTTGCAGGAGAGCTGCCGCTGAGCAGGAGCGGGAATCAGTACATAGTGTTCATGGTGGAACATGTGAGCAAGTGGCTGGAGGTGAGAGCCATCCCTAGCAAGAGCACGAGGCATATTGCAGTAGCCTTCAAGGCACAGGTAGTGTGTCGGTTTGGAGCATGCAGTGAGGTGCTCACAGACCAGGGAACGGAGTTCCAAGGGGAGTTCAAGAAGCTGCTGGAGGAGTCTGGCATCACGCAACGAAAGACCTCCCGCTACCACCCGCAGAGTGACGGGCTGACCGAGCGAGCAGTGCAGACCTTCAAGCGAGGACTGCGGGCCTACGGGGAGCAGAGGAAGAGGGATTGGGATGATGAGTTGGACTGGATCGCAGCGGGGTACAGGTTTGGGAAGCAGGCAGCGCTGAAGGATCATTCCCCGTATAGCCTGCTCTTTGGACGAGAGCCCATTCTGCCAGTGGGGGCACCACGGGTACTGACAGACACAGTGACAGCGGGCACGATCAAGAACTGGGTAGCCCAGTCAGAGGTGAGAGCGCGCTACCTGCGCTACATGATGCCAGCCGCAGAAGAAGGAACAGAGAAGAAGAAGAGAATCTGAATGCAGGCAGATGACGAGCAGAGCTGTTTCTCCGACAGGAGTTACCGTAACCTCGGTAAGTCCTTATGTTCTGCTGTTGAGTCGGGGTGATGTTCCTCAGTAGTATTGTGTACGCCATCATCGATTGATAGGTGTACTGCTACTTCTCATACTGCGTGCCGTTTGTTGGATATGGCAGGGACCCGTCGAAGAAGCCAAGGATCTGCGCTCCTTCCATCATCAGCTCGAATTCGAACGACCAGGTAAAGAAATCCTTCCCGTCGAAAGGTTTTGTCGTTTGTAGTTTCAGAACATGCGCGAATTGCGACTGAACTCGAGGTGCGTCCAGTGCTCTTTCTTGTCCCGGTGCAGGTTGTGGTTGCGGCATGAAGCTGACGGAGCCGCGCTGGGGCTCGTACGGAGCGAAGGTAGGTTGTTGATGTTGATTCCCGCGTGCGTAGGATGAGCCATCGAGACTCATGGGCGTCACGTTGTTGTTGTTGTTGCTGTTGTTTGATTGCGCAGGTACTCCTTGCTGATGCTGCTCGTAGAAGGACATGAAGGAGAAGAATTTCTCCATCATACTTGGATCGAAGCCCGCGCCTTGGTTTGCGGGTGTTTCCGTAGACCCAGCTGCTGGTCTAGTTGTTGTCCCTTCCTCTGTCAGTAGGCCAGAGGCAGGAGGTGGAGTAGGGGTAGTACCGGGAGAGCCGTTGGAGGAGCTCCTCTCCTTTCTAGCAGACATGTCTTCTTGATGTATTAAGTGTTGAAGAGAATTTTTTAACTCTAACCAGCTCTCATACCATGTTGGGCTGAACGCCCTAGGATCTTTAGTAGAGTTAAAGTCTGAGTAAATGATGTAGTAGCGGAAGCGTTTGAATTAAGTCCTTGAACCACCTTGCGCTAGTATGTGAGGGCAAAGTAAGTTAATTAAAGCAAAGATATACAGGAATATATATATGAGTACAGAGAATATGAAGAGACATAATTGTAACTGTTTTACTGTTGCGGTTCGATACAGTGCGACTCGGGCAACTGCTCAATGTCGAGTCAGTTGTGTGTCCTTGCTGTCGCGCTGCGTCAGGTCAAAGGTCGCTGACCTTTGACTTTCTCGTAACCTCCAGCGGTTACGTTAACCTCCGAGGGTTGACTCGCGGTGCTTTGATTTGAGCTGCTTCGCTTGTGTCTTGAGTTTCGACACGACAGAGGCGCTTAATACTATTTGTTCCCAACACAAGAAACTAAATGGAATGGCTGGCAATGACCTTGGCAAAACAAACCATAGTTTTAGAAAGTCAGTTCCACGGCTGCGTGTAGCCTGCGATGGCTGCAAATTTGTCAATGAATGGGAATAAACTTCTCAGACAAATGTAACCTTTTAGCATACCTGAATGAGGATGTGTTGTAGATTTGCTGTTTCGAGGTTTTTGTAGATTTTGTTGTCTGATATGAACTGTACCGTAGCGAGTGTCTTTTCGGGCTCTTCAAAATCGAAACCAGCTGTTCGAAGATTTTGTGCACCCATCCATCACCACCGTTCGATGTTCCAGTTGGCACACCTGCGTACGTCCGTTCATTTTCCCCCTCCTCACTTCACCTCGCGCCATGAGATACTCTTCCAGCAGTGTCCCAACAGCTGCGCTGGTGAGATCCCAGGTGTGCTCTGGTGCAGCTTGGTGAAGTATTGAAGAAATGGATTAGTGAAAGTTTCAGAACGGTGAACGACAAAGGACAGTGGAGAGCGAGCACTGAATGAACTGTGGCAGCTATTTGTTGCTGATAGGCGAATGGAAAACAAAGAATAAGCGCTGCAGCGCGTTCGTAAAAACACCAGGCGATGCCAACCAACACTTTCACCACACTCATATTTCATCATCCTGCTCCACTGTCTCCAGCTTTCATAACTCCCCGGCAATGCACCACGTCCCGATTCGCGGCTTTAGGATTCCCGTAAATGACGTGGCCTCGTTTCCGTCACAAGCGCCTGTCGGGAGAGATTTGCTCCAAACCCTTGTTTGGGGATTCGTTGTTGCACACGTGGCTACCATTTGCTCGAGTGGTTCTCAAATTCAGTGAGAATTGCTCGAGTGGCCTCGCCAGGGTATTCTCAACGTCTTTTTTTAAGAATGAACATTACTCTTCAGGGGTATCTATCCTCAAAACATCTGTATCGGTTATTGCGCGATCTTTTATATCCGAAATTTATGTTCATGACCCTATATGACCGCGCCTGATTGGACGCTCATATAATCGACCAATCCTGCGCGGCCATTAATGGTCGCGCGCATCATATTTTAATGCCCGATCATATATTTCCGCAGTTATAAACTGCAATGCCCTTAATGACCGCGCATGATTGGTCAATTATATGCACGGTGCCTTTTTTCGAATTGCGCGTCCAATCAGGCGCGGTCATATAGGGTCACGAACATAGATTTTGGGTACTGAAGATCGCGCAGTAACCAGTACAGAAGTTTCAGGGATAGAAACCCGTGTAGGGTAATGTGACGGGTTAAAAAAAGCCAGTGGGAATCCACTGGCAAGGCCACTCGAGCAATTATCACTGAATTTGAGAACCACGCGAGCAAATGGTAGCCACGTGGGCAACGCTGAATCTCCAAACAAGGGTTGGAAGCAATTCTCTCGCCTGTCGGCATGATCAATGCGCAGTGCAACATTCCATGTGCGACCTGTGGCGACTTCGCGAACGCTTGAGTGAATTGAGTGCACGTAAGTTCGATAGCTCAGCTTCATGGCACCTTCCAGCCAGGCCTTGATAAGCGCAGTCTATATAGTTCTAGTCAACTCAGAGGATTTTAAATGTGCATCATTACTCGCGCACCCGTTCCATCCGATTCCAAGCTAACATTTCTGAATCGCGATCCAGCCGAGCTTTCGTCAAAGTGCCACCCTAATCGTCGCGAGCATCTCCAGCCATGGCTGACTCAAATGAGCCGTACGTGGTGGTGGGAAGCCAGTACTGCGTGCCGGAAGAGACGGTGCTTAAACTGAAGGAGAAGATGTGGTCGCTGCGTGAGAAGGCCGAGATCCGCGACGGTCAGGAACAACTGGTGTTCAAAACTGAGGATAAGTACGTGCCACGTTCCAAGTCTCCTCCCAGTGAGATTGATTTATCTACTACCTACTACGTTCCAAGTCTCCTCCCACTGATCCTCACTGCGTTTCCACTCCTTTTCACCAACTTGTGGCAGGGCATGGGACATCAAGGAGCGCAAAACCATTTACAACGCCCAGGATGAGCCTGTTTGCTCTATGGTCAGCAAGTTGTTCTCTATCAGCGACACCACATACCTCTGCGCTGGCGCCGACCCGGATCCCGACCACGCGCTACTCACCGCCAAGAAAGTCATCCTCACCTGGTCTCCCATTCTCAATGTGAGTTTCTAACACATTTGTTTCATAGCTAGTAACATGTAAGTGATCAGCATGGAAGGTGATTGGGGGGTTGTTGCAACTAGGTACATTGTACCCTGGCCTGAAGTGAGAGTTCATTTTTGTAAACACGACCTACATTGCAACTAGGTACATTGTATCCTCAGAATTGTTTTGTTTTCCTTCCTATTCCATGCAATTGTGACTGCTGACTTATGCTCAGGTTTTCCTGAAAGGGAACACGTCAACTGATAATCCTGACATCATTCTCAAGGGCGATTTTGTTCAGTACGACTTCAACGTATGTCCTTCCATTGTCTATCTTCTCAATTATTCCGTATCACCTGAAAACACTGTGTTTGTCTGTCTAGATTTCTGAGCTGAGTTCTTGACATGTGTCCTTGCATCCTCACCTGCATCACTGACTTGCAAGAATGTTCGTCCGTGCTCTGTTTACCAGCATTTGGGAGTAAAACCACTTCAAAAAGTTGGCCTTCTGCAAAAAAAAAACACCATTGGGCTTGACATGAACCACATTTGCGATAATTTTTCATTTTTTTCTCACTTTCCTTACCTCCGCATGCAGATTACCACCTCCAGCGGCCGTATTTTGGCAAAGGTGGACCGTAAGTTTGATGCTGCAGGTGCTTTCTTGGCGGCTCAGACATACGTGGTGCATATCAAGCCCAATGTAGACAGGGCTCTGATTATGGGCCTTGTTGCTATGGCTGACAATATATTTGTCAACAAAGTAGACGACTAGAATATGGCTGCTTTGTTTGAGTAGTCCGTATTCCTTTGTCAAAGCTCACCTGCTATGAATTTCTGCTATCAATGAACGGTAGGTTTGGCTGTACACAACGTTCTCTTTGTTTGTACACAATATTGGCTCTGTAAGAATTGACACATTACAATTACTTCTCATTGGGTTTATCTCACAAGTTACTGATCCAGTGTTATAGGGAAATGATCATAGTGGGGCCCCAGAGCTCTAGAAAAGTTGGCTAAGTGGGGGAGAACAAGGGGTCACAAGACCAGTCAAGCAAAGCAAGCTCAGGGTGGATCACAAAGTCACCACACAGTCCGAGCACAAGAGCAGGGCCAGAGGCCAGTTCACATGCAGGAGTACAGACATATATATAAAACTAGACAAGCAAGAGCAGGTATATATATATGTCACAGTACAAGTGAAGTCAAGAGGAGAGCAAGTGAGGCAAGACAGGTACAAGACCCAGCTGGGTGCAAAAGCGCTGATGGTCACAAGGCGCGAGTGCCTTGGTGAACACATCAGCAGTGTTGGCCTCAGAGGCCACGTACGCAAGTCGCAACTGACCACGCTGCTGCAGCTCACGAGCAAGGAAGTAGCGGAGAGCAATGTGCTTCGTTCTGTGCTCCAAGCGCTGCTCTCGACACAAGGCCAGCATGGCCTTGTTGTCTACGTACAGCACTGGAGGAGAACGAGGCGGCTCTCCAAGGTCAGTCAGCAGGTAGGTGAGCCAGCGAAGCTCCTGTGCAGCCATGGCCCCGGCGTAGATCTCAGCCTCACAACTGGAGCCGAGAACCGAGGACGAGCGAGTAGACCGCCACGAGACAGAGCCGGAACCAAGGCTGAAGGTGTAACCCTGTGACGACCGCTGCGTAGCCTGGTCGTCAGCCCAAGAAGCGTCCGCGTGGCCGGTAAGGACCACTGGACTCCGCCCTCCAAGCACTAGCCCCATGCCCGACGTACTGCACAGGTAGCGCAATACCCTCTTCGCTGTAGCCATGTGCTCCGGTCTGTGTCTCCCAGGAGCAACATAGCGTGCAAGAATGCTCAGAGGGTATGCAAGGTCAGGTCGTGTGCAGGTCATCAGGTACATGAGGCAGCCAACAAGCTCTGCATACGGACCACTCGACTCTACGGACTCATCCGAAGGCAGAGCTGAGAGTGAGTGGCGAGTAGGCAGAGGAGTGGCCTGAGGCGAGGAGTACGTGAAGCCGAAGCGCTGAAGGACCTGCTGCACCATGTGTGACTGAGTCAAGGTAATGGTGCGGCGTGCTCTGTCCCGAGTGATCTGCAAGCCAAGGTAGCTGCGCAGTTCACCCAGGTCTGTGCACGTGTGTCTCTTCTGCAGCTCGGACTTCACGTAGGCGAGTCCAGCAGTGTCCGCTGTGGCAAAGACCAAGTCGTCGACGTACACGAGGATATAGAACGGCGGCAGGGAAGTGTCGGTGCGAAGAAACAGCGACGGGTCAGCAGAAGAAGGAGCAAACCCAAGAGCCGCAAGCGTAGTCCTCAGTGTGTCGTGCCACTCACGCGGTGCCTGGCGGAGACCGTAGACTGGCCGTCGGAGGCTCCACTGGGTGCCAGGAGGGAAATTCCCAGTGAAGCCAGGTGGACGGCGAAGCCAGATCTCCTCGTGCAGGCTACCCTGCAAGAACGAAGTGCTGAAGTCGAGAGAGTGAAGCTCGTAGTCGCCCTGAGCGGCTATGTGCAGCAGCACCCGAAGAGTAGTCATCTTCGGGGTGGGAGAGAAGGTCTGAAAGTAGTCAACTCCCTGCCGCTGACTGAAGCCACGAGCAACGTACCGTGCCTTGAAGACAGGTGGAGAGCCCGGCGGCCGCTTCACCCTGAAGATCCACATGCCACTGACGATGTTCGCCCCAGGAGGGGGAACCGCGTCAACGTAGGTGCCTGTGGACTTCCAGGAAGCCATCTCTGCATCCATAGCTGCCTGCCACTGAGAGGAGTAGGGACCCTCTACGGCCTCCGCGTAAGAACGCGGAGTCGGGATGTCTAGTGCATCCGGGTCTCCCTCAGGGGCAAGTTGTACAGACGCGAGATGAGGTGAAGCAGCCACTAGACACTGGAACTCCTCCTGCCTGTCCTCTAGGACGTCCGTGCCAAGAGCACACTCACCCCCGACGGACGGAGGACAGACAGACGCAGACTCAGCAACAAGACGAGCAGCGTAGTCGAGACGATAGCGAGCAGCGAAGTCGACGAGCTCAGCGACTAGAGCAGACGCAGCAGTGGACTCAAAAGAGGGGTCAGTGACGACAGTAGCAAGCAGACGCGTGACAGTAGGACTGGCAGCACGAAGAGAGTCCGACTCAGGGTCGGCAAGTGCAGGAAGAGAGGACTCAGGAGGAGAAGGCAAAGGGGCGCGCAGAGGAGCAGTGGACGGACGCAAAGACATCCGGTGCGTGCCAGGGACAGGAGGAGGACGCTGACGCGAACTGCGACCACTAGCGCGAGCAGCACGAACAGGCGACGCGGGACGAGACGCAGGCTCACGACGCTCAGCAAGACCTCCAGTAGGACCAGTGTAAGGAGAGAGAGCAGGCAGTGGAGAGGAAGGCTCCAGCAGGGACTGCGACTGGACAGGCGGTGGACCCTCTACTGGAGGAGAAAGACCAAGAACCTGCTGCAGGAGCGGAACGAAGTACGGCCGAGGCCGCGCGGCAGCTCCAGACTCAGCAGGGACAGCACCAGCACCCTCAGCGACAGCACCAGCGCCACCCACACCTCCAGCGGCAGGACCAACAGCAGTAGGCTCAGCACCAACGCCCTCAGCAGCTCCAGCTTCAGGAGGACCCGCAGGTCCAGCAGCTCCGGGACCGGCAGCACCCGCACCCTCGACGGTCGAAGAAGCTCCAGCTCCAGCTCCAGCAGCACCTCCTGACTCAGCAGCACGCCTCCAGCGGCGAGCGAACCACTCACGCAGCTCCTATGGAGAGAGGGGCTCCCGGCGAGACGCAGCAGCAGGAGAAACCCCAGGCTGAGCAGCTCCAGACGCAGTACCCCCAGGCTCAGCAGCTCCCAGCTCAGCACCCCCAGGCTCAGCAGCTCCCGACCCAGCACCCCCAGACCCAGCACCTCCAGGCACAGTACCCCCCGACTCAGCACCCCCAGGCTCCGCACCCTCCGCAGTAGCACCCCCAGGCCCAACACCCCCAGCAGTAGCACCCCCAGGCTCAGCACCCCCGCGCACAGCACCCCCAGAGTCAGCACCCCCAGGCTCAGCACCCGCAGCAGCACCAGAGTCACCAGTAACCTCGACCGGGTCAACGGCGTCTACCTGGGACACACCTGAGGGGGCAGGAACCTGAGGGGGGAGGGGGTCTACCGGGGGGGGAACCGGCACAAGGAAGTCCGGGGGAGGGGGGAGGGAAGGAGTGCGGTAGGGGAAGAGACGGTAGAAGGGGACTGACTCGTCGAATGTGACGTCCTGGGAGGACAGAATACGACGAGAGGAGGGGTGGTAAAACTGCCACCCTGGGGCGTCAGTGGGGAAGCCAAGGAAGACACAGGGAGCAGCACGAGGGGACAGCTTGTCCGCAGACAAGTCGCGGACAAACGCCCGAGATCCCCTGACACGGAACACAGACGCATCGCCAACCTTCCCCGTCCACAGCAAGGCTGGGGATATCGCAGGCCGAGAGACCCGGGGGTGAAGGTTGAGCTGATGCGCCGCGTACCTCACCGCAAACGGCCACAGAAAATGGGGGGCAGCCGCATGCATCATGGACGTACGAGCGACATCCATGACCATGCCAATGCGGCGCTCAGCAATCCCATTTTGCTGTGGTGAGTTCGGAAGTGTGAAGGTCTGGCGAATCCCCCGTGCACGACAGTAGTCCCGCAGAAGGCGAGAAGAGAACTCTCCGCCTCTGTCCGAGTGCAGACGCAGAACAGGAAAGTCCGAGCCGAAGCTCTTCCTGAGCTGGAGACGAGCCTCGCGGATCCAGTCGATCAGCACCTCAGTGACCGCACCCTTGCTGCGCAAGGGGAGGACTGTGGTGTAACGCGAGTAGTCGTCAACCACCAACAGGAAGTAGCGCTCGTGACCCTGCCCACGGACGGGGGCTGGGCCCCACACATCCATGTGAAGCGTCTGCAGGGGAGCCTCTGTCGGGGGGAAGTGGGAGGAGTGAGGAGTAGCCCGGAGGCGACCCTCGACACAGGGGACACAGGAAGGTCCTGGCCCGGAGGGGAGAGGAGGGAGAGACTGGGGAAGACCAGAGACAAGGACACGGGAAGCCATGCTCCGAAGACGGGGCAAGGAGGGGTGGCCAAGACGGTGGTGCCACAGGAGAGTCTCGTGAGACAGGAGGCGACAAGAACAGGGGGCAGACTCAGGACCTGACCGGGACGCAGCAGCAAGCACCTGACCCGACGCAGCCACCTGACCAAACGCAGGGACAGGAGGAGACTCAACGGTCAGGGTGTAGAGACTCGACCCCGGCCGACGCGAGAACGTGGCCAGGTGTCGGCCTGTGCGTGCCTCCGTGCAGTGGGTCACCCGCTGACTCGCAGGAGTGAACTGGTGAACCCCCACATCCTGCAGGTCCGCTCCACTCACCAAGTTCGTAGAGAACGAGGGAAGGTACAGACCAGACAGGGTGCCCGAAGGGGCAGCCAGACACGGGAGGACAGTGGAGAAGTGAGACAGGACAGGACCCCCAGAGGGGTCAGCAAGGGAGACCGCAACCAGCCGGCCGAGCGGCGTAAGGGTAGTGCGGTCTCGAAAGAAGGAGCGAGAAGCCCCTGAGTCAAGTGTGAAAGTGAGGGAGGACGAGGACGACGCAGTACCTGAGAGCGCAGTCTCACCAGTACCTGAGAGCACAGACGCACTGGCACCTAGAGCAGCAGCCTCACAAGCACCTAGCGCAGCAGTACCAATGCCCGGGTCGGGCTGGAAACAACGGTAACCCTCATTCTCCTCACTATAATCCACAGCATACATAGCAGCAAGGATAGCATCAAAATCAAGATCAAAGATCGCTACACCAGCCCTGAGAAGCTCATCCCAGTGAGGGATCTCACTAGCCCCAGGGAACTGCTGACGCCAAGCGTCCGTCAGGCGGCCAAAGCAGCGCTGGGTGGCGTGGGCACCCCCACACTGCTCACCCGCGCGGTCGCCGGAACGAAGAACGTAGGTGCAGGGACCAGTACCCCCACCCCTCTGACGCCCAGCGTACCACTCACGAAGCTGCTGAGGCGGAGGGATGTCCCGCGAGCGCTGCTGCTGCTGCCGCTGCGAGCGCTGGCCACCACCACCGCCGCTACGCTGCTGGGTACCACCCCGACCAGCTCCACCTCCTCCACCACCACCGCCTCCTCCGCTGCCGCCTCCACCGCCTCCACCTCCGCCGCCTCCACCTCCGCCGCTGCCTCCACCACCACCGCTGGCACCACCACCACCGTCTCCGCCGCTGCTGCCACCACCACCACCACCCCCGCCACTAGTCCCGCCGCCACCCCCACTCCCTCCGCCGCCACCGCCGCCACCGCCACCGCCCCCTCCAGCTCCACCCGCGCCCTTGCCCCCCTTGCCCTTGCTGGAGCGACGTCTCCCACTAGGGGCAGACGCCGCGCCGACCGACTCAAGACCAAGCAGGTCGGCAGTAGCAGCAGAGGCAACAGAGGGCAGCAAGGGGGAAGGAGAGCACCCCTCAAAGATGGGGGTGCGAGGGTCACCACGAGAAGCACCTACAGCGACTATGCTCTTCTCCGCTGCGAGGAGGGCCTTCTCGAGGAGGTCGACGGTGAGGGTGGTGGGACAGACTGCGAGAAAGTGGTCCCTGACGACGCGAAGGGAGTCAGGGAGGCGCGCGACTACGTAGTAGAGAGCGATGTACATGGGGGGTGGGTTCTTAGCGCAGAACTCAGCAGGAAGGGCGGCGCGGTAGCGAGTGTCACTAGTGCGGAGGTGCGTAATGAGGTCAGCAACAGTGGGAAAGGCAGAGAGGTCAGGAAAGAGGTAGGGAAGCATGAGACGGCTCAGTGCAGCAGTGGCAGGGGAGGAGTAGCGCGCAACTACAGCGTCGTACAAGGTCTGAGCACTCTTGTACTGACTAAAGTGCGCACGCTCAGAGGTAGGGAGGTGGCGACGCACAGCAAGACGTGCAGCAGCATCGCGGGTGGCCCACTGAGAGCGGACAGTGGGATCAGCATCAGCAGCAGGAGGAGGAGAGGCGCCAGAGGTGAGGTCAAAGAGAGAAAGGTCGTCAGCCCTGTCGCACTGTAAGAACAGCTGCAGGTCGTCTAACCAGACCTCAAAATCAATGGCGCGACCCTCAGCGTCAAAAGCTAGGACACTAGGGGTAGCCATGGCGACGACAGCGACGCAGTGCAAGCAGTAGGGAAAGAGCTCGCAGTGTCAGTGGGACTGTGCTCACCAGGCAGGGCAGGTCGTGCAGCTCTGCAGAAAGGCGGCTCAGCGACCGGGCGGCTCGGGTGCACAGCGGCTCGGCTCCTGGGCGGCTCGGCGGCTGGGCGGCTCGGCGGCTGGGCGGCTCGGGCGCAGGGCGGCTCGGCTCCCGGGCGGCTCGGCGGCAGGGCGGCTCGGGTGCAGGGCGGCTCGGCTCCCGGGCGGCTCGGCGGCAGGGCGGCTCGGGTCCCGGGCGGCTCGGCGTTGGGCGGCTCGGCTCCCGGGAGATGCAGGGGCGGGGCCGTCAGGTGCAGCGGCGGGTCGACCGGTGCAGCGGCGGGCCGGCAGGTGCAGCGGCGGGGCCGTAGGGTGCAGCGGCGGGCCGACCAGGTGAGGCGGCGGGCCGTAGGGTGCAGCGGCGGGCCGACAGGTGCAGCGGCGGGGCCGTCAGGTGAAGCGGCGGGCCGCTGGGTGCAGCGGCGGGCCGGAAGGTGCAGCGGCGGGCCGGCAGGTGCAGCGGCGGGGCCGTCAGGTGAGGCGGCGGGCCGTAGGGTGCAGCGGCGGGCCGTAGGGTGCAGCGGCGGGCCGGCAGGGCCGCGTCAGAGCCTGCGGCGGGGCCGCGTCAGTGGAGGCGGCGGGGCCGCGTCAAGCAGGCGGCGGGGCCGCGATGAAGCGGGCGGCAGGGTCGCGTCAGAGCCGGCGGCGGGGCCGCGTCAGTGGAGGCGGCGGGGCCGCGTCAAGCAGGCGGCGGGGCCGCGACCAGGAGGGGTGGCGGGGCCGCGTCTGAGGGACAGCGGGGCCGCGAGGGAAATGGCGACCCGAGGGGTCGCTAAAAAAAGGCGCGCCTCGGGGCGCGCTTCGGTGGGCCCAAAAAAAAACGGTCCTAAGGAAGGACCCGCTCTATACCATGTGAAACAAGTGAACAGGAATGAAATGACTAAGTCAGAGTTGGGTACAAATACAACCCTAGAAAGGTGTACCCCATATGTGCTACCCCACTATAGCCTACATACATGCATCAGCTATAATACTCTGACAGGATGGTTCTATGCGGACCAAACAATGCATAGGCGAAGAGATCCCCAGACTCAGGGAATGTCGGCGTCAACCAACCCTCTGGCCACGCGCCTACTCGCAGGTCGATGAGGTTTGCGCGGGAGAGCAGGACGCTACGGCATTTCGGGGGAGTGGAACTAGGTGATTGGCCTATTGCACGTGGCGCACATAAATTCCACCGTGGCAAGCACCGGCTGGAGTGCCGTTGAGCGCAGAGCGGCGTGACAGTAGACATGCATCGATCGTGACACGTCATGCACGTGCACTGCGGCGCTTGCAAAGAGGGCTGCGTGGAGCGCGGCAGGTGCAAAATGGCCCGCAACCATACCCCTCTTTGACCACGCACAACGCTCTCATTCTGCCTGTTCAACTTCGTGTTTCTCTCATGCTCCTGTGCGCCATCTGGCATTTCGTTTTCTTTACAGGACCCTCGCTATCTCTGCGGGTCTAGGTTACTCGACGGCCGAGTCGATCCAGCTGCGGCACTCAGGCGTCGACCTGGAATAGACTTACGTCGGCACTAAGGCGTCGACGTGAATCACTTCCGTCTCTGGTTTACCAATCTTTCCCTCTTCCACGGCCGGCGGTAGAGCATACGAGCGGACATGGACGACATCGACATGCCCGACGTTGGTACCCCAACCGACCACAGTCCGTCCTCTGCCCCCGTAGAGACGCTGAAGTTGCTTTACGATCTTGACAAACTGACTCAGATTCCCGAAGGGGAGTACACCAAGGACATACCGAATCCGCCAATGGGGGAGTTTACGAAGAAGTCGACACCGACGTCAGATGGGCAGCCAGGACCTTCGTCGGTGCTGGCCGGCTCGAAAAACCAAGGTGATGACGACGACAAGGACGAGGAAGAGAGCGACGACGAAGTCGACGACCGTCCTCCGCGTAGCACGAATCCGCGCACCTTGGAAGAACGCCTTAGGCGGGAATTTGAATACATACATGACATGCTCGAACAGGACGAGAAGGAGGACAATGAGCACATGCCGGTGCCGCGCGAAGGGTGGAAGGCGACGGACTTTGTAGTAGACGACATGGTGTACTCCAGCACCGACGTGCTCATAATGGACGCCCTACGACACCTACAATGCTTGGAGAAGGATAGCACGCTCAGGCTGTACACCGCGTTCATCTACCACTACAAGAAGTGGGCGGCGAAGATGCTGAAGCAGATACGCGACAAGCTACCCCATGAGCAATGACTTAGGCACGTCGACGAGATCGGCCACTACATCCGCGACAACAAGAAAAAGAATTGGTGCAACGAGAAAGTGGTCCGCCGACAGTACATCTGGCTGCAAGGCCCTAGGGTCACCGAAACCCGGCTGCGCGCCTACGTGAAGCAAATGAGCCGTGAGTGTAACCTCATTGTTGACCAGCCCGGGGAGGAGAACAATGCCACGCGAACGGGGCCTGTGAGGTCGACAACTGTGCACACGATCCTCGGCCGCATAAAGGCATGCCAGATGGCGGCGAGGGTGGAGGCAACGCTGTACCGAGAGAAGGAGCTAGGCATCATGAGGGAGATCTCGGTGGTCAGATCGGAGGTGCGGTTCAACGTCCGCCACAAGAACGAGAGGGACATCAAGTAAGTTGGTCGACAACCTTATTCTATATCACTGTGCACTGTGAAGTCGATGCAGTCTAACTGATTTTCCCCGCCGATTTGCGTTCAGGAACTGCGCCGACCGTCGACGCGGCACCATCGGCGATACCTACACCGTCGAGCAGTTCCGCCAGATCATGATGAGGGTGCTGCCGACATGGGCGGCGGCGGCGTGGAACCCGCGGGCAACCACTCCGTCGCAAACGCTGTGGCGATTCCTGCTCGTCAAGGTGCCCACGCTACTCTCCCACCACTCTCTCTTGCGCGGCGCCAGCATCCGCGAGATCACGCTCCCCGACGTCTTCTTGTACCACCTGGCGAGCACCTCGGAGGTGAACCCGGATAGCCAGCCGGTCGTCATGGTGATCGCCGCGCGTAACTCGAAGACATCCAAGGATGCCCGTCTTCAGCAGAGCTACGCGGCGCGACACCTGGAAGCGGAGCTGTGCGCCGTCGGCGAGACCGGCCTGTGGCTGCACTTCATCCTCGACCAGATCGGTCAGTTCTCCGGCACCGACTTCCTTCCGCCGCTTGACACCACAGAACGCGAACGCTGGTACAAGAAGCATCTCTTCTTCGCCAGAAACGACAAGGAGCAGGAGGAGCTCCCCGCCGCCACCCACCAACGTTGGACTCGGCAGATGTGGACGACCAACAAGGTGTTCTGCAAAAGGAATGTGCACGTCGCCCGCGCCGGAGGTGCGCAGGAGCTAGCCATCGGAGGAACTCCGCGCGCGGAGATCGCGGAGCTGGGACACTGGGCTCTCGACAAGATGACGCGTGCATACATCACGGCCATTCCCGCTGGGGTGGTGATGTGGAAGGCCGGCTACTCGGGACTCAAGCAAGACTACTTCTTGGGGCGCAGCAGGGTCGAGCCCTCCGACAAACTCCTGGACCTGCTCGCCGCGCACATCTTCCCCGGAGTGGATGCTATGCTGCGCGATGTATGTCACGCGACGCCGACAATGTTTTTCAGTCGTCGTGGCCTAGTTGGCTGCCCAACTCCCTACTAACCCACGCCACTTTCCGACTTGCAGGCGGAGACGCGTGCCGTTAACGGGAGCGACGCCGATGCAGCCGCAGTGCACTTCTTGCGCACCCTCGTGATGTTCCGACGCATCGTCGCCGAGGACCTCGCGGTGAAGCTCGTCCGCACACCGTGGCACCCGTACGTCCAAGGTTCCGAGATCTGCAGGATTGCCCTCTTCCAGCACTGGGCGAAAAGGGTCGAGTCGGTCGACACCGATACGATCAAAAAGCGCCGGGACCCGACTCAGATTCAGCCGGAGGTGAGTCGCCGACCATGTCGGCGTCGTTGAATTTTAGCCGGTGAATTCTAACCTCTTGTCGCCTTTCCGCACACTCAACATTGCAGGAAATATCCGTCCGCATGGACACCCAGTATCACAACATGTCCCTCAAGGAGGTGCTGAAGAAGGAGGTCGAGCGCTCGGCGCTCAAGAAGCTAGGCCTACAGGAGACGATCGAGATGCAAAACGACACCATCGCGTCGCTCACCGCCGAGCTTGCTCGAGTCACCGAGGCACTCCGTGTGTTAGAAGCCCGGAGGATGCCGGCGGCGCCGCCGTTGGCGACCGATCAAACTCCGGGCGAGGGTGGCTCCGCGGATTCGGCCAACACGGGGACCGGAGCTAAGAGAGATGATGGGAAACCCCCGCCACCCCCCCAGACGGCAGAGGAGGCCAGTTACGAGCTCAACGTGGTGCAACCTTGGCGAGATTCAAAGACCGTGCGGGACGCTTGGCGCCTCTGGAACTCCGCCATTGCCAATGACACCCGTCGTCTATGCGACAGGGTCGCCGAGCCGGGGTTCATCGACCGCCACACCCTCCTCAAAGGCGCGACCCAGGGTGCACTCAACATGAGGGTGCGCCGCATGCTGAAGGCCATGGATGCGGTGCGCCAGCTACGCGCGAGCGACGGCGATGCCGACACCGAAGCCGTGGTCGATGCACTGAACACGATCGCGGCACTGGGCATTGGGACCTTCTACGATGCCCTCACGGTGCTCAACCCGGAGACGGCATCGACGATGTCCAAGGAGCCTGGCATGGGCGTCAAGGGGCTTGCCCCCAAGGTGGTCTCGAAGCTACGCCTCGCCTGTGCGTTGGTGGCGCTCGAGCTGAAGCCGACGACGTGGGTCGACCGCCTGTTTCCAGACACCTGGGAGGAGCAGATGCCGAAGACCGTGGCCGACTTGGCCAAGCAGACCGCACCTGCGCAGCGTCCTCGGTCAAAGCGCAAGAAGTCGGCATTAACATCCTCGGTGCATATGTGTTAGCGTAGGTTGATGATGCCCTAATTTAGCAAACCGTTGTGATCCCATCGTACTTCTTGACGGTGATGCAACACGAACATACATGATCCAACACATACATCCGAACCAGATATGTCGGACTCCGACATAGTCGCCAGCATTTGTGTGAAATTCATTGTGCCTTTTTCATGTCGACATCGCTGACTGCATGCAAACGGCGCAAACGGCGTCGATCACGCTATAACCGAGCAATCATACCACCTAGCGCTCCCACCGCGCGCTGACTACGCATCAGTGCTGTCCATGCCCGCTCGATATGCGCGTCAAACGGCACATCGATGCCGACCTCCTAGAGTTTCAGCCACATGGGCGGCGCGGCACATTCACCAAAGCGCCGACCATAGACCATCTCGGTCTAGCTGATGAGGCTCATCGCCGAGAATATACATACATACAGCCAGACGCACTTTGTCGACACCGTACGACGCCGAGTTGTTATACGCCGACGGGGTGGCTCGAACCGGGCCCGCATTTGAGTAACATGGTAGAGATCAGGTCGACCTTGCCGAGGAGTGTTCTAGTAACATGCACTACCAAAAAGTTACAGCCAACAAAAGAAATACGCAACCACAACCGAAAAGAAATCCCAACGAAAAATATACAATCAAACGAAAAAAAATCCGAACAAAAACTACACAATCGACGCCGCCAATACCAGGCCATCCTAGCAAGAAGACCTACTTGCGCTCCCTCCTGCCGCCCATGGCAGATTGTTATGCCGACTACGCCGCCGTGCTGTCCTTGCCCGCTCTGCCCTTCCTCCCCTTCTTCCCCGAGCTGTCCTTGCCCTGCTTGCCCCTCTGCCTCTTCCTCCCCCTGTGTTCGATATCGTACTCCATCTGCGCGTCAAGCGGCACCACGATGCCGATCTTCCTGAGTTTCGGACCATCCACGGGGCACATTCCCCAGAACGCGAGGGTTTCCACCGTCGCGCGTGCGATTAGTTTGGCCTCGGCATCAACATCCAACCCCGGATAGGCTTTGGCCAGAGCGGTGGACTCCAGCGCCGGTGCGACGTTGTGCGCAACCTCCCCGAGGGGTTGCTGCCTACTGATCGCGGCCTCCAGCACCGCCGTCATGACCTTCTTGAACTCGGCGGCAGTAGTCTCGCTCGCGCCGACCAACATCGCCGCCGCCTTCCCTTCGCGCACGGCATCAGCCACCTGGGTGCCGTCGCCCTCGACTAAGCACCAAAGGGCGCAAGCGGAGGCCGACAGCGCCTGTGCGACCTTCGCCGTCGTCTGATCCGTGTCGCCCTCCATTCTCACCGCGGATGCAGCGACCTTCCCATACACCGCGCACAAGGACACGCGGTCAATTATGGCTGACATCATTGCATCCGACTTCTACTTCCCTTCCTTCGTGTCGGCATCGACGGGGAACCAGATCGCGGGCAAAAGCGCGTCATGGTGCGCATCGCCTGATGTCTTGTACGCTCGATACTTCCCGAGGATATCATCGAACCTGTCACGCAATCACACGAAACCGGCCGTTAGGAACGCCGACGTCGACATCATCGCTTGGCCGACGTTTATCCGACTTACCGTGTCTTTGGGAGGAACGCGCCCCGTGCCTTAATCTCGCCCACCCACCCTTGCTTGTCGCCCGTGGTGTCGTGGCGGATGCCATGACCCTTCCGTTCTTTCATCTTCACATTCTCCTCCTCCCTCGCCGCCTCCTCCTCCTCCACCTCCGCCTCTTCCACCTTCTCCTCCTCCTTCTCCTTCTCCTCCTTCTCCTCCTCCTCCTCCTCCTCCTTCTTCTCCTCCTTCTCCTCCTCCTTCTCCTTCTCCTTCTCCTTCTCCTTCTCCTCCTTCTCCTTCTCCTCCTCCTCCTTCTCCTCCTCCTTCTCCTTCTCCTTCTCCTTCTCCTCCTTCTCCTTCTCCTTCTCCTCCATCTCCTCCTCCTTCTCCTTCACTGTCTCCGCTGCCTTCTCCTTCACCATCGCCGTCGCCATCCCCTGTCCTTTCTCCACCGACTTCACCATCGCCGACGTCACCCATGTTTTCTTCTTCGAGCTTGGCCTCGCTTTCCCTGCGTCGACTGTCCCCTTCCGTTTCGACTTTCCCGCGCTGACCGCAGCAGTGGTCGTCAAAGGCTCCGCTGTACAACCGGTGGGACTCGCCGAGTCCAAGATGGCCAGCACAGGGGGCTGCTTGGGGCGGTTTACCGCTTCCAACAGGTCCTGGATGGCAGCGATATCGACGTCGTTGTGGTCCTTCGCCGCCTGTGCAGGGTCAACTGATCCGCCGCCCGTGGCTAGCGCTGCACTCACGCCCTTCTCCGCCACCGCTTCGACAGTAGCCGCACCAAGTGTGTGTGCAGCTACGGTCACCGACGTCGGCGTCGCGCATGAGCTGGATACCGGCTGAGCCCGTGCTGGCGCTGCCGCAGTACGTGCGCCTAACCGGGCGCGAAGCAACGCGGACTTTGGGTCCACAGGAGGACGGGCGGCGATGATAGGCGCGGTAGGTGGGGCACTGGACGTTGTGGCGGCGACCTGGGGAGTGACGGAGCGACGTGCTGTTGTGGCCGGCGCGGTACCGACCACGGGAGGCTGCTGCACGTCCTGTCGATGGGTCTCCATGCGGCTGAGCATCTCCCTGAGCGCGTTCGCCTTTGGGGCGGACGGACCAGCGCGGTTAGCCGCAGCATTCACCGCGTCAACCTTGGCGGCAGACGTGCCTGCTGGTGCAGGAGTAGCCGCAAGGGACGGCCCATCGTTGTTGGCGGCTGACGGGGCGACCGGCGCGCTGCTAGCCGCAGGGGGTTTGCTGGGGATCGACGTGGTCCCCGCCACTCCGCCGAACGGTCCCTTGACGGTTTTGGCGCCGCCATCTATCGCCGTTGGCGCGGTCACTAGACTAGCCGTCTTCTCGGCGACCAATGGCGGGGCTGTTGGTCCAGCCTCTTGAGCGACAACCTGGTCGGCAGGGCCCCCCTCTGCACTCCTGATTCCATCGCCCTTGCTGTGCATCCTTATCACCTTGGCCCCGTTCTTCTTGAGCTGGTCGACCATGCTCGTACCTCCGCTCCCATCGGCTCCCTTGCTCCGCGAGCCGCCTGGACCCACCTGGTCGACGCCGCGGCTCCCATCAGCTCCCTTGCTCCGCTTCGAGCTCAATGCATCATCTCCGCCGCCCGCCCTTTTCGCACCCTTCGTGTCGGCCTCGTTGTCCAACGGTGACGACCCATGCCGACCAGGCGCCAGATGGCCGATCACCTGGGTCATGAGGTTTAACCCGGACGCAACAAACGACTGCTGGGTGGCCTCAGTCACCGCCTTCAACACGTCTGCCTTGAAAGACTTCATCAGCTCGTCCGGGAAGGCTGGCGGTGGGGCGGGCGGCGTGGGCGGCGGGACGGCGACGCGTTGAGTTACCGCGGCGGCGATGTTGGTTTGCGCGGCGACTAGGTGCTTCGATATGTATTCCTCCAATCCGTTCCTCGCTTCGTCCACGTGGTTGCCCATGGCGACGACCGCGTTCGCACGTTGCACCGCCATAAACCCCTCCGGATTCTCTAGATCGTCCAACCAGCTCTCCGCCCTCTCGGCGTACGCCTTCATCGCATCCCATGTTTCACCCATGTTGGCGGTGATGTTCTCCGTCACGGTCATCGCCATGGTCAAGGACGCGTCCATCAGCCGACTCGACGCGTCCTGGTCGGAGGCAGCGACCTGGTCGGCCAACGACCTGAGCTTGTCCACGAGGCGGCCAATCCCCATCGCAAACCTGTCCTCCCGACCCCTCTCCACTCTTAGCGCCATCTCGAGACGAGCATTTTCAGCCCTCAACCACATGTTCTCCTGTCGCAGCTGCGCGACGACGGTCGGTGTTGCCTGCCGACCAGCTGCTGAGGATCCCGGTTGACGGCCCGCCTCTACCGCTCCACCCCGGCGTTCCACCCCTGCGTTCCCTGTGGTGGTCTCCACGCCTGTCGGCGTCAGGGCGGCGGCGTTATCCTCCTCCTTTGCATCGCCAACCACATTGCCGACCACGTGCGCCTCCTCCACGCCGACATTCTCCACATCGGCACCCTCCCCTCGCACGTACACAACATCCGCCGACATCCCACCCGTTCCCTCCACGGCTGCCGCCGCTCCCTCCACGGCCACCGCAGCCGCTCCCTCAACATCCTCCATCTCGAATTCGACCCAGGGGAACTCTACCTCCTCCTCCCCCTCTTGCTGCTTCTCCCCCTCCGCCACCTGCTCCACCGACCCGAAACCCTGCTCCACGGCCTCCGCCGCCGCCGCCTCCTTGTCCTCCTCCTCCTCATCCTCCTCCTCTTCCTCCTCCTCCTCCTCCTCCTCCTCCTCCTCCTCCTCCTCCTCCTCCTCCTCCTCCTCCTCCTCCTCCTCCTCCTGCCCATGCCCCTGCTCACGCTCCTCACGATCCTCCTCGTTATCATCCTGATCGTCGGTGTCATCCTCCTCCTCTTCCTGATTTGCGGTCCTCGCCACAGCCCTTTCTGCCTCTTCATCTGCCTTGTCGACGCCGTCTCCGGCCTCTCCGCTGGTGTCGGCGACACCGACTGTTTGGGATGCCGAAGGGGACTCCGCGGCGTCGTCGTCACAGGCATCGGCAGCAACTCCGACATGGCCTGACCGTTTGCGTGCGACGTGTTCCTTGATGTATGTGATCATCCGAATCCGCAGCTCCTTCAACCCTGAAACGAGGACCTTGTCCATGCTGGTCGCACTGCGACGGTCGTCGCCGGTCAGGCGATCCATCCTGTTCACCACCCAGCACAGCGCGCTCATTGATAGGAGGCCAGAGCCTGCGTCGCTGTCCCGGACGGTGCTGCGCATTTTCTGCAAACAACAGAGCAGAGAGCAAGGATGAGCACCGGCGGCGGCAATTGCATCGCTCTAGGACGGTAAAACGATCGGTACTCACATCTCGAACGGGTTCATCGCAGTCGGCGAGCCTGTCCGCCACCTCTTCAGCAGAAGGCTTCGGCCACTCCCACTGCCGACCATCGCGGCCGAGCTCGGCCAGCACCGCCGCCCGGAAAAACCTGAAGCAACATGGCACATATCGTCAGTAGACTTGCTTAACGCCTAGCGGCGAAATTGCATGCGTCGTCGACTACACTATCGAGCTCACTTCAGCACGCGGATCGCCTCGTCGCGGTGCCACTGTTTCACAGTTTGCGGGTCAAATTGCCAGACAAAGGTCCTGATCGTCTCCCCCCCGGCCCGCAACAAGTCGCCGGGGTACAGGATGACCACGACGCTGCAATGTGCCTTTGGAAGCGGTGCGATGCTGCACAGGCTAGGCACCACGACGTCGATCAGAACGGAGCAGCGACATAGGCATCATGGTACACCATCATGACTTAGGCTCACCTCGAATGCAGAGGGATAACAGCTACGTCGGCGTCGAACACCGTAGCAAAGCATGAGTGGTCTTCCTTGCCCATCGCCGCCCGAAGCCGGCCGAGTCCTATCGACCACAATCGCATGTTGGCCGGCGCCGCGCGAATTCATGCGTACCTGCACGCATGCATGGGTAGTAGATGTGTTTGAGGACGTGCACGGCACGACGGATGGACACGTGGGTTCTGGAACCGACAACTGACGGGGATGGCGATAGTAGAACGGTGCACCACCGTCGCTACGTTGTAATCAATGGCGCCTACCGATGCGGGCACCGACCTACTGTAGTGATCGGAGTCCGGTGCCGACCTACGGCTGTGTGCGTCACCGAGTAGTGATCTAAACCCTAAACTAGTAGCGCCGACCAAAACGTGGGACAACCCTAACAACAACGACCTGCAAGGTATCCAGCGGTCGACGTCGATATCCCAATACGGACACTCACTTGAGGCCGAATCCCAAGAAACGGGCGTTGAACTCTAGCCTATGGTCTACGAGGATGGCGTAGTCGTGTTCGTCGAGCTTGGCAGTGAGTCCACTACCCAGGTCGAGATACAGAGGGAAGTCCTGCGAAGTCGGCGTCACTTCGCCGAGTTTCGGGGCGGCTAACGTGGCGGGGAAGGGAAGCGGCTACAAGCTAAGGGACGTGAATGTGGGAGAAGGCATAGAGCTGGGGAAAAGGTGGAAAGGGAAACGAGATGCCGAAAATGAGGAGCGGTGCCCCCTTCCACCAAGAAAAGGGGGTCGGTGCCCCACAGGAACGGTCAAGGCATCGCCCGGCCCTCGTGGTGCCTGCCTCGGCGGGGTTTGGCGGGGTCGTGCACAAGTGGCACAAGTTCTCATTCGCCGCCGAGCCAGCAAGTCGATATCACGTCCCAAAGCGAAAAATGTGCGCCGCGAATCGATCGAAATCGAATTCGCAATGTCCCGAATTGAATTCACAATGTACCAAATTCTGCATGTTGCCCGAAGCGAAGTAGGCGGGCGAACACGTGGCGTCACCGCAACGGGTCGCGAAGTTGTCGAGTGTCCCGAGGGGGCCCCGACTTTTCGCCTGGCTCTCGCCTGCCCGTCCGGGCAGGCCGCGATGGGTTACTAGGACCTCACAGGAAGGTGGCACGTGTGGGCTGCCTTCGCGCGAGGGTAATTTTCCCACGCGCGAGCTGTCGCCAGTTCGCTGACCCCACCCGGCAACGTGGGCCGCTGTTCACATTCGGAGCGGGGCTGCGGGGCAGCGATCGTGCGCTCGGCCCAGCCCTGGGCCAGGCTGGCAGGCCCGCACGCGCGTCAGTGCTCCGCCGCGTCAGCCCAGGCTTTGACGACCCCCCTCGACGACACTGGCAAATCGGCTCCGTCGACCGAGTTCGGGTGGGGTGTTCGGGATGATATACCTCAGCCGATGAAAACAGCCGCCCAATTTCGCCGTTGCGATAGGACAACGAACCCCCTCGGGATTGACGAGCTCCTGACGACCTCCGAGTGGCAAACTGGGGTGACCTGGCAGTCCTCCGGGGCCCTGAACCCCTCGGGATTGTCGACAATCCGACGACATAGGTTTGCCTTGGGATATTCCTGAGAAGTAAATCTCAGCGGACAAAACAGGAAAGCTCGCCACGTCGAGACGCGAGGGTCGCCACGCGGACCAATAAGGAAGAGCCAGATCGTCCCCACCGTGTACTAGGCTGCCACGCGGCGCAAATCGGACCGTCCAGGGTGTAAATGTTCTGTGGCATCGCAAGTCAAGGCAAGCAATGTCGGTGTCGACAATTTCATCCAAAGGGCCACAACCAAGGCACGCGGCACAATCTCAACACTGTAACACACGCCCATTCCACCGTGGAAAGACCCAGGCCTACGCCCCTTCGTTGCAGCGCTGCGTCACATTAGCCATGCTTGGCACGTGGCACGTCGGCCAGTGCGCCGCCTTTACGAGATCACATGCATGGCGGCAGCAGCATAGGGGTGTGCGTGAAGCGCGGCAGCATCGGAGTCGCTCAGGACCATACCCGTCCGTGACCTTGCGGGCCTGCTCATTCCCACGTCCGTTCCTGCGTTTCTTCCTGCTCTCTCTTGCACTTCGAATTTTCAGCTGCCAGTCTGTCATCGCGCCTGAAGGCTACTCGGTTGCCGACTTGGTCAGTAGTCATCGACGTCGACGTCTGCTGATTTAGCTAAACATCGGTGCATGCTCCTAACGTCCCCGCCGACGTAGCAAGTCGGCGACGCATGGCCAGAGGTCGGCCTAGAGCCCGACAGCCGCAACCCATTCCACCCCCCGCCGACTCTGTAGACGCCGACATCAAAGCGGAGCTGGAACGGCTCGAGGTCGAAGCCGAGTTAGGGTTACTTGAACGAGAATTCCAAGAGGACCGCCGCGCGAATCAGTTCCCTCTCCGGTTTACCGCCCTCCGCATCGCACACGGACGACGATAGAGCAACATACGTGCTGCCACATGGCCGACGTCGACATGACTGACGCTAGACCATCCGCCGACCACAGTCCGACATCTACCGAGGAAGAGACGCTCCCCTTACTCTACGATCTTGACAGGCTGACGCAGATTCCAGAAGGGGAGTTCACCAAGGACATTCCCCCACCGCCGGTCGGGGAGTTTAAGAAGAACAAAAAACAGAATCCGACGCAAACTTGACGGCCTGGAACTTCGTCGGCACCGGCCGGCCCTGGAAACCAGGTTGATGTCGATGAGGAGGAGGATGGGGGGGAGGAGGAGGAGGAAAGCTATGACGAAAACGACGAGCGTCCGCCGCGTAGCACTAGTCAGCGCACCTTGGAAGAACGGCTCAGGTGGGAACTTGAATACATAGATGATCTGCTCGAACAGGACGAGGATACAGACCAGGAGAATTTGTCAGTGCCGCGCGAACAGTGGAGGGCGGCAGACTTCGTCGCGGAAGACATGGTGTACAAGACCATTGACGTGCTCGTCTTGGACGCACTACGCCACCCGCAAACCGTGGCGAGGAACAGCACGCTGAGGCAGTACACCTCGTGGATCTATCACTACAAGAGGTGGGCGGCGAACATGTTGAGGCAAATTCGCAACAAGCTTCCGCATGAGTACAGGCTTAAGCACGTCGACGAGATAGGGCACTACATCCGGGACAACAAGAAGAAAAACTGGGACCAAGAGGCCGATGTCCCCCGGTCGTACGTGTGGCTGCACGGCCCTAGGGTCACCCAGTCCCGGCTTCGCGCATACGTGAAGTACATGGTTCGGGAGTTGAATCTCGATGCCGAGTCAACCAAGAAGGGCGACAACACCATAGGAACACAGCCTATGAAATCTACAACGGTGCACACGCTCCTTGGGCGCATAAAGGCATGCCAGATGGCGGCGCGAGTGGAGGCGACGATATACCGGGAGACGGAGCTGAGCATCATGCGTGAGATATCGGTAGTCAGGTCGGAGGTGCGGTTCATGATCCGCACCAAGAACGAGCGGGACATCAAGTGAGTTTTTGTTTCTCTTGTTGTCTTGTACTGAGTCGACGCCGCCCTAATTGCCCCCCACCCTCGGCATTGTCGGCAGGAACTGCACCGATCGGCGTCGCGGAACAATCGGCGATACCTACACTGCCGAGCAATTCTGCCAGATCATGTTCAGGGTGCTGCCGACGTGGGCGGCCAAGGCGTGGAACCCGCGGGGTACGGGCCCGTCGCAGACGCTATGGCGGTTTCTGCTGTTGAAGGTGCTCACGCTACTCTCCCACCACTCTCTTCTGCGCGGTGCAAGCATCCGCGAGATCACGCTCCCCGACATATTCTTGTACCGACTGGCGAGCACCTCGTCGGTGAACCCGGAGAACCAGCCGGTCGTCATGGTCATCGCTGCGCGGAACTCCAAGACGTCCAAGGATGCGCGTTTGCAGCAAAGCTACGCTGCGCGGCACCTCGAAGCGGAATTGTGCGCCGTCGGCGAGACGGGCCTGTGGTTGCACTTCATCCTCGACCAGATCGGCCAGTTTCACGGCGTCCGCCTCATTCTGCCGGTGGACACCAGCACACGCGCGAGCTGGTACAAGAAGCACCTCTTCTTCGCAAGAAACGACACCGACCAAGGGGAGCTCTCTGCGGCAACCCACCAACGCTGGACGCGGCAATTGTGGGACAAAAACGGGGTCTTCTGCAAGAGGAACGTGCACGCCGCTCGAGCCGGAGGGGCCCAGGAGCTGGCCATCGACGGCACACCGCGCGCCGAGATCGCGGAGCTGGGTCACTGGGCGCTCGACAAGATGACGCGAGCGTACATCACCGCCATTCCGGTGGGGGTGGTGATGAAGAAGGCCGGTTACTCAAGTTACAAGCAGGACTACTTCTTGGGCCGGAGCAGGGTAGAGCCCTCCGATAAGCTCTTGAAGCTCCTCGCCGAGCACATCTTCCCCGGCGTCGACGACATGCTGAAGACGGT